TAAACAAAGCATAAGCTTTGCAGAAAAACAACAACAAAGCAAGCAGAAAGCGAAGAAACTAACAAAAAAGGGGAGAAAGTATAACTTTTATTATGGAGCAATGGAACTTGAATAAATCTCGAATCGAATACTCTTCATAGAATAAGCGCAAATTCCTGTTTTAACATTGCCCATAAGCACTACTTCAGCTATTATTCAATGATCCTTTTAACTTGCGAAATATGAAAACTCCAAATACGACAATGTCAACTCCCGCTACAACAATAATGAAGATTGAAGGCAGCCATGTTTCAAATGCGAGGAGCTTAAATCCTGCATTTTCAAACATAACAAAACAAAAAGTACTAAATTTTGCATTTTCAAAACTCAATTAGAGATTGAAGCGGAAGCAATTAGCAAAGCATAAACAAGAACGGCTACCGGTATCAATGAAATAAATTACGTGGAAAATCGTTGCATCAATTGCCTCCCTTTTGTTTAAGAGTGATCTTATCCCCAAGACTAAGAGCAACCCCTGGGTCTTGCTCCTTATCCTTATGTACCCACTCAGCTTCCCATCTGTTTGCTCTCAACACTCACATTCACCGAGGCATCCTCCCCAAACACACTCTTTGCATACAAGTTGCAGCCAGGAATCCACATTCCCCGCCTAGTGCAGATCTGAAACAAAACCAACCAGAAAAAAAAAAGAAAAGGATTCAATATAGTCTGCAAGGAATTCAATCTAGAAATTTACTACCATGTTACAACAGCAACTTCAACACTAAACAGATGCATTCAAACCAAGATACAGTTATCATCTACATACTGAGCCTGATTAGATTCAAATATCTTTTTAAAAAATAAAGTGACCACTTTATAAATCATCTGGCAGGTTGTATTATTAACAATGTGCAACCTGCCGTATGATTTGCAGAAACCAAAAACTGTTTGGTTAATTTTAAATGTATACATTTTCTTGACAAGGCAAACTTACGGTGCAGTTAGGCACTTTATGTTAGTTGACTTGATAATATGGTCAAGGAATTCCTTCTCGTTTTAAATTACAATGTTAACAGCAACCTGAATCACAAACAGAAGAATTAGTAATAAATAATAAAATTGAAACATCAATGCAGATAGGAATTAAGGCATCAATATTAGGCTAAGCTAACTAACTAAAAGAAACGGAGGTTGTAAGGACAAGATGGTAATAGTAAAATAGGAAAGCTTAAATGGCTCATACTGAGGTGAAAGAGTGTTCAATATAAAATGCACAAGGAAGGAATCAGACATTTCAACCTCCAATGCTCTATGTTGAGCTACTAAATCTCGCATCTTATTGATGTGATCACATAAGCCTTTCACAACAGTGAGCCTCATAGACGTGAATCTCATAATCAGGGTGTTAGCCAAAGATTTTTGAGAAGTTTTGAACTGTTTTTCAATAGCCATTAATAGTCCTTGTACATTCTCATAATGCTCAATTGAGCCACGAACATCAGCAGGAACCTTACTCTTAATGAACATAATGCCGAGCGGATTAGATCACTCCCATTTTCATATAGAACAAGATCAACTTGAGTGCTGGTTTTAGTGATATGTGGCTCAGATTTCCTTATGACAGTCAATATCCAAACACCCCAATTGAAGAAGAATACTCTCCTTCTAAATCTTAAAGTTCTTACCGGTTAATTCAGGGATACCTACTCTATTATCAGACAAATTCACATGTTGTAAAACTACAAGAAATAATGACATACATTGTAACGTCCCGAATCCTGAGTTAGAAGTTTTGGACTAACCCGAGATGGGCATTGGGTTAATTTCTAACTTGTAAGATGTTTTAACTCAAATTAAAGTGGATTGAGCTTGAGGTACCTTCATCAGATAGTAATTGTGTTTTGAAATGACAAACAATCTCTCACCTTGCCAATCACAATCCAACATTTTTTGGGGATTAGTTAGTTAACCCTATTCCCATATGTAATGAGGTTAAGGAGAGGTAGGATAGTATGTTGCCCCCAACGTCAGGTTGAGAGCAGCTTCCGTAGGAGACCTCCAGCAGCTTACGTTAAAGAAAAACGCTACTGGAAATATTAATATATTTTTAATATTTTCGATAGAATACTATTTAAAATGTTATTTTTTATCAGTAACATTAATATCGGTGCTACATAAAATGTTATTTTTTTCTACAAAAAATATTAATATAAAAATATTCATTTTAAGTAACGAAATTAATATTTCTAGTAAAAAAATAATATTTTAAATAGTACTTTATTAAACAAATTTAAAATTATTAATATTTCTGATAATATATTTCTTTAACCTAATATTAAATTGCCGTAGAACAAAACTATCTATAATTTTTCATCCCGTCTTTTATTTCGCGCCAGGCTCCTTTTAGGTGATTGTTTTGTTCATGTGTCACTTTTCATAGGTCATTTACGAGTCTTTTATTTTTTTAATTTATGTAATTCATTTACTTGTATTTTTAAACTTTATTGCAATTTTAATATATTAATTGTCTATTATTACTGATTAAAAACATTTAACTTATGTTAATTATAAGTAAATATTTCAAATTATTATAAATTATAAATTAATATAGTAATATATTAGCAACAATAAGCGAGCATTTACATTTAGTTTATATTAGGAAAAAAGTTTTTTTTAACAATGACATCTGAATTTCATTAATAAAAAATAGAGGAATCAAAATTATAACGTCTCTAAAGAAAAAATTAGAGACAGTGGTCACAAAAAACTTTACATAAATAAAAATATTAAACTCAAAGATATAAAGAGAATAAAACCTTTCAACTATCAAAACAATCCAGTAACCTTCATCAAATTTTTTATCTTTGTCGAACGAGACGCTTTACGATGTGATAAAGGAGTGGTGAGCGAACCAAACAATTTAGCAGATTGTTTCGCTATATAATTCTGATTATATCGACAAACAACCATTTACAAAAGAGGAGATCTGACAATATGTGCCCCACCAACAAGCCAATCATAAAAAAAATACTGTGAGGATCTTTGTGGGAACACCAACACGTTCGCAGAAGTATGAGAAAAACTTACTGAAAACCATAAGAAACGTGAGAGCAGAGAAAAACGAGTCACAAGAGAGAAAAACGTGTCACAAGGAGAGATTTTCTTATTTAAAAGTGAAAAAAAATCAAGAAAAATAAAGACATAATATGAAAAAGAACAAGAAAAATAATACTTACAGGCGGTCGATAACTAATATTAAAATTTATGTCGTTGACGCCTAAACAAAAAACAAATGAAGAAAAGAAGACAAACAATAATATTGAGAGAAAAATTTAAGTTAAAGAAAAGAGGGCGATTAACAAATAATATATTAGAAAAAAGCTATTTAGGTTGAAAATAGGTTTTGACCACTTTTTAGAAAGGTTTAATACATTTTTTTTAGTGTTTAACTTGTATATCCAATTATGATTAGTTAACAATAAAACAATAGGTTGACAACTTTATATTTTTTATTTTTTTATTTTCTAATAATGAAATATTATTTTAAAAAACCACCCCTACCCCCATCATCCTTCTCCCTCCCATTTTCCATTGCTGACGATGAAGGATCACTGTCGGCGGGATTTGTTCGAAGCATGATAAGGAACTCAATGGTGAGGGTCGTGTAACGTACAAATGGTTGTAGCCGTTGAAATCGTCAAAAAACATTAACAAAAAAACCTATAAATTTAACAACCCTTCGTGGCTATTTTCACAGTGGATGGAGGATAGTGTTTTGATCACGATGACGAGACAATTCTGATTGTGTCAATGGTGAGGGACCGACGGTGATTTGAGGAAATATGTAAATTTTGAGGGTTTTTTAATTATAATATTAAGTTTTTTTAAATAAATTTTAAAATTTTATATACATAACATGTATCAGATAACAATTAAATTTAACGATTGTTATAGTTCAAACACCTAAAAATATAACGTTGGAAACGTTAAACACATATTGTTAGCAAACAATTATTTAGGCTTTAATTAGATTTTTTAGGTTTAATTTAAGCATGGTCCAAATACCTAAAAATATAACGTTGAAAATATTATACGCATATTATTAGCAAAAAAATAAAAATCTTTAAGTATCAATTCAGTTTTTAGGTTTAGTTTAATCACTAGAAAGTATATTAAGTCTTTTAAAAACTAAGTAAATTTTGAATTGGATAATGGCGATAATTTGTTGTTGTTTCTACATTTTTCTTCTTCTAGGTTTTAAGCTCAAAACTAACATAATAAAAAGCGTTATGGATGTGTTTGGTTTATGGAATATAAGATAAGTAGTGGGAATAAAAGATTACTAGGAATATGATGAGAATATTGTATTTTGTGTTTAGTTGGTTTAGCAATTAGCAGGAATGTAAGATTACCGTGTTTGGTTAAAAGAATAAAAGATTTTGAAATGTATATTTGACCAAATTGTCCTTATTATATATTTGTTTTTTTAACCAGTTGAATTCTACTATAATATTACTATGTGATATTTATATATTTTCTTTAAAAAATTTAAATTCATAAACTTTATATAATTTTTTTACAAAATTAAAAATATAAAAAGGTTTAACAAAAAGGTAAAATTTTATTTTAACCCCACTTTATATAAAATTTTAATTATAGATTTTTTTTTGTAAATATAAAATAGTTTAATGATAAATTTGTAATTTAACATTCGAATTTTTATTATTCAATGACAGAAGAAGGGTATTTTTAAAAAAATATTTAAGGACATTTTAATCCAAAACACCGGTAATCCAACAATAAAAAAATAATGACATTCTGATAATATACCTTAAAAAATCAACTGTAGGTAATAAAACATTATCAAGAATAAAATTATCGGTTTGGTCCAAACGAGAGAAGAAAGAGAATTCATTATATATATAACTTTACCAAACACCCCCCAAGCCTAATCCTAACTAAAACTTCTAGTAAAACAACAAGCTGGAGCAGGGAAAAGGAAAAGGGCAAAGGTAAAGATGGCGTTCAGAGGGAAGGAGATGATGAAGATGGTAAAGAAGGTGGGAGAGAACAACCTGGCGCCTGGTGTGAAGGAATAACTTAAAAAAATGCATTCCGGACGCAAGGTCTTCATGAATCGTGCCAAACGTGGCCTTTACGCCGGCCGACATATCCAGTTCGGCAATCGTATCAGCGAAGACGGTGGAAACAAGTATTCTCCCTATCTTTTCTACTTTAATCTCTTTTTCTTATTGCTCTTGCTATTGAGCTTTAGTGAGAATGTTGATTTTATCGTTCCTTTTTATGCTTTATTTATCGCTTTGACGCGATCTGTGGAATGGTATGATAATAGAAGATTGCGCCTTTAGCTGCTGTTACTGAAAAGCTGTAAATGTCTACTACTAGGATCATTCCAAGAATTTATTGTTTACTATATGAAACATTGAGGGTATTAAGAACATAGTTCAGTGATTTACTGCGCTTTGACGCGATCTGTGGAATGGTATGATAATAGAAGATTGCGCCTTTAGCTGCTGTTACTGAAAAGCTGTAAATGTCTACTACTAGGATCATTCCAAGAATTTTATTGTTTACTATATGAAACATTGAGGGTATTAAGAACATAGTTCAGTGATTTACTGCAAATTAAGCTAGAAGTTGGCCAATATCGTTTAAGAAACCCCGAATACGTGTAAATTGTGGGGATATTGAACTGAGAGTAGCATCCAATGAATCCAGTTCAGGGATTTTCTGCCACCTGCGACTGTATTTTCGTCATTGTCGAGCTCATGATATTTTATTTCGAGATGTGATGTATTCTTGTAAGCATGTAATTCATTATAGTTCTTGGAGGTGAAGCTGGTTGTTCTGCTTTTGTGCAATTTTGAACACTGAGATCTGTGGTTGAATTGGTGCAGAGTATGCCGAAAAAAATATTGATCTGTTTTTTCATGTTTATTTGGGCTAAACTCTCGAGATAACGTTCTCGAATAAATTAATTCACGAGATAATGCACACCTCAGATTAATTGCTCAAATAGGGTGAAATCTACAGTGTTGGTCGTAGGTCGCCATGCCATCCGGGCGACCTACTAGGTCGCCATGTCTTCCCGGCGAGCTATGAGAGAGATTGCATGTGTCATGCACGTTCCAACACGTTGGGCATCCGAAGCCATCCGACCGAGGCCATTCGAGCGAGCTATGCGAGGGCATCCGAGGGCAAGAGGAATCACGCGAGGAGCAGGAGGAGTGCATGACGACCTACAAGGTCGCCAGGAGTGCATGGCGACCTACAAGGTCGCCCGGAGTGCATGGCGACCTATGCTGGGAAGCTGCCACGTCGTAGGTCGCCCGGAAGGCATGGCGACCTACGGCTAACACTGTGCAATTCGCCCTATTTGAGCAATTAATCTTGGGAGTACGTTATATCGTTAAATAAAAAATTCGAGAACATTATCTCGAAAATTTTGCCTGTTTATTTGCATGTGTGAATTTAAATACTTCCGAAGGACCTGAAGTTTCTTAAAGATTTTGGATTCCAAGTTATTTCTAAAACAATATTGACAATTATTGAGAAGAGAATGACTTGTATGGCAAAAATCCTTGGTAGTTTGTTCAGTCGACCTAAGTTTGAACTTTGGTTAGCTTCTTAAACTTTCTTGTCACTCCTGGTCTGATATTGTTCATCTGCAGCGGGGTAAATAAGTTTGTTTCTTGCTTTGTTGGAATTACTTGGTTTGTATGATTGGGAAATTTTAACATCATGTAATGGTTGTGACAGATCGAGGAGTTTGAAGCCTAATGTACAGGAGAGGCATCTGTTTAGTTATATCTTAGATCACAAAGTAACCACTCATGCCCTCCGTTGCATTGACAAGGCAGGTGGAATTGATGAGTACCTGCTGAAAACTCCCTACCACAAAATGGATACAGAAATGGCCCTGTCTTGGAGAGCTAAAATTGAGAAGATGTATGAATAGCTCGGACAAAGGGAGGTAGTTTTCTTTTTACCAGAGGATGAAACAAAGTTTGAGCAAGGATTCAAAGACCTGAAGCTAGCTGAGAGAGCAGCTTGAAGGGATGCTAGAAGACAGATGCATGGATGGTCTGGGAAACAGGAAGAAATCGAGGATGGAAGAACCAGCCAACACAGTCACGATGAAACTGCTGATGCCGGGGACGATAGTTCAGATGGCGATCTCCATAAACAATGGGTTGCAAATTCTTGAGTTTAGAACTGTTTGCCATGTTGGGTGCCGATCACATTTATGCTATTCTGCAAAGGATTTTTGTTGTGGATGAATAATTTTGTAGCTATGTTTTATATGTTCTACTTTCGGAATTAGTATTACGATAGACACGAGCATGTCACCCAACTTCACAGTCAAGGTAAACAAGATATTTCTTCAGTATTGTAGAATTGGGTTGGGCGCCGCTCTCTGTTGTAATAGATCCTTAAAAGTGTGGCACAATTTAAGCCGATCAAAACATAGAATGAAGATGAATATTCGCAGCTTTATATGTCATGGCGGTCGGATACCTGTATTAGATACTGTTAAAGCGTCCAATTGCTCATCTAAGCTCGAGTTTAGATGATAATATTATATCGAAAAATGAATTCGAGTAAAAATTCTGGGCTCGGTTTCATGATTGTTTACATCTATTATTTTAATAAACGAAAAATATAGAATAAGCAAATATTGAATAAAAAAATAGCAGATACTTTAATAAATAATAATTTCAGAAGTAATGATTTGTTTTAGATGGATTGCATTCATTTGTTGCAACACAAAGGCACATGGTGAATACAAAAGAGATAAAAGCAAAATCCACGCTATTCATTCTCAGGGTGGTCGTCTAAAGTGGTGCATCAAACCCGCTTGCATGAGCGTGTGGTCGTCTAGGGGTACTTAATGAGTTTAACAGTTTTTGAGTAGTTCGAATTTGATTCGGTAAATGTTTGATTCGAGTTGACCCAACTTGAACTCAACTCGAGACCTTAACGAGTTGAGCCGAGTAAAGTCTAACTCGACTCGATAATAAGTTCACGAGCAATTCGTTAATTTTCTAAAATATATTTTTAGTAATTACTTCAAAATTATTTCATTCAAAAAATAAATCTAAATAATAATTATTAATTAATTTATAAATAATAAAAAATAATAAGTTAACTAATATATTATTTTTTAATAAAAAAGATTAATTAATTAATAAAATTATTTTAGTACAAAAAAGCAAACCCAACCCTAATATCCGGCTATAGTATTAGTAAATTTTATTTTTAGTTAAAAAAATAAGGTAATTTTTTTAGTGAGCTTAACGAGCAACGAGTCGAGTCGAGAAACAAATTTTTTTAACAAACATGAGTTGAACGTTGCCCAACTCGCGATTGACTCGCTCAATAATCACCCCTAAGTCAGACCTAAGGGTGTAAACGAGCCGAGTCGAGCTCGAGTATTGCTGAGGTCGACTCGACTCGAAAACTCTGAAATGAAGCTCGACTCGACTCGAAAACTCACAAGCTTAAAATTTTTAAGCTCGACTCGAACTCGAAATCCTGAACTGAAGCTCGTGAGCAGCTCGAAAATGCTCGAAATGAAAAAAAAAATTCTTAAACTTAACAAGATTGAATCATCAAACTCAAAATCGAACCTAAATCTTAAATATATGAAAGCCTTATTATATTTTTTTAAAAAAAATCAACACAAATATTAATATTATTAATAATTTATTTTTTAAAAAATAAATTCTTAATATATTATATTTTTGAGCTGCTCACGAGCTTTTCGAGCTGCTCACGAGCTTTTCGAGTCGAGTATCAAGTAGCTCGTTTCGGCTCGTTAAGAATTAGAGTCGAGTTCGAGTCGAGTCCATTCGATCCGAGTATTTATCGAGCCGTGACCGAGTCGATCTCGAGTAGCTCGCGATCTGTCTCGTGTCATTTACGGCCCTAGGCAGATCAGTAAACTAAACTAAAACATAGAAAATCAACGGTGCCAGGCTGTTGGTTGAGAGGGGCGTTTAGTTTGACTACTTACGATGGCAAACCAAAATTTAAGTTCCCCGCTTTTGCAAAGTCACTAAGCTTAAAGGCAAAACTTGGTGACCAAGCAAGCACTATTTAGACAATCGAAAGCGTCTTAACACACTAAACATAAAGTCAAGGAATCTTGCCTCAGAAGTCTCAGCTTCCTCTTCTGATCTATATATATATATATATATATAAATCGTAAGCCCAGCTCCATTCCATTTCAAACATTTCTGCATTAAGAATAACCAACGCTCTCACTTGAATTGAAAAGCTTAAGCAACAAGATGGGCGTGGAGCACTGGTCTGTTATTGGCCGCCTTAAGAAAGCAGTGAAGCGGATAAAATCCCTTCTTTGTTTAAAGCTAAGCAGATGGCGCTTAGCTTGTTTCCTGAAAAGCGCTTCCCCCCGGCGGCGGCTGAGCTTGAGCTTTAACGATCACATTGGTTTGACTGGCTGCATTGAGGAGGATGAAGTTGAACCCAGTGAAAGAGGGTTGGTTCACAGAAGTTCAAGTTGTCGTGCAGATGATGTTGACCAAATGGCGGAGATATTTATCTCCAATTTCCGTCGCCAGCTTTGGTTAGAACGCCAATTTTCTTTGGAGATGAGATATCACCGATGCAGGAGTTTGGAGTCGGACAGAGACTGAATCAGATTGTAAGCGTGCTCTATAAGATTTAGCATTTGCTTTTACACTGTATTTATACAGCTAGATTGTTTGAATTTCCGGTTTTGTTTTCCATCTTGCATCTATTGGTTTTGATTCAGGATTGGTTGTTAAAACTCCTTTGTTGTGTAATGAAATTCAGGGGATTGTTTTAGGTAAGAATTTCATTTAGTTTTGACTTTTGATGCTGTGAACTTACACTTCTGGTTTACACTGTTATTATAACGCTTTACTATTAGGGAGGGTGCAGTCATTAAGTTGCACGATAAATGTTGGAATTTCTCCATATCATGGTGTTGAGCTGAGAGTTGAATTCATTTCGGAGTTGCTTTAAGCTCCCTGGAATTCCCTTCTTCCACATTTACTCCCTCGTTCATCCCTAGTCCCTTCTTGCCTGCTTCCATTTTCTTAGTAGCAGCCCTCTCGTCCGTTGGTCTTTATGGGCTCCAGTAGGCCTATCCAAATGACCTTCTTCTTCTTAGTAGATTAGGCCGTGTGTTCAGCCCTTTTAAATTATTTCATTTTTAATCCAATTATTCTAATTCGTATCTGCAAAGTGGTACGCATTAAAGTTTAGGGTAAACTATGTCATAGCGGGGGACATTGTACCTAAATCGACTACATCCTGGTTCGAAGTCGGGATCAATGGGCTTGCATTGACTGTAAGGTGTTTTTTGAAGAGGCATGTGCATCACAACACAGATTGTTGGTTTTGGTGTTCTGCGTACGCCATGGGCGGAGCACTCATAGGAGGGCTACACTAAGTAAACCTAGGATCATTTGGAAGAACTTACATGGAGCGACAGCTGATGACTTTAGGAGTAAGGTTTTGTCTCATACATGTTTTGGAACTACAAACTCAGATAATGCAGATATGTTATGGAAAAATATGACAAATTCCATCAGAGAGGTGGGCAAAAACACTCTTGGGTTGACAACAGGGAAGGCGAAGGAATTGACAACAGGGAAGGCGAAGGAACATAAAGAATCGTGGTGGTGGAACGACGAAGTCCAAACTAAGGTGTGAAGACAAAACAAACTTGCTTCAAGGAGTTGCTACAATGCAATGACGACGAAGAAAGATCGAGAGCTAAACAAAGATACAAGGAGGCAAAGCGGAAAGCCAATAAAACAGTGGCTAAAGCAAAGGATAAGGCATATGAGGAAATGTACAAGAGATTATACACCAAGGAAGGACAAAACGACATCTTCAGGCTTGCAAAATCCAGGGAGAATAGGAAAAAGGATCTAGGTAGCATTAGGTTTATCAAGGACAACAATGGTGTTATTTTAGTGAAAGATCATGATATTAAGAGGGTTTGGGTAGTTACTTCTTTGGCTTATTTAATAACGGTGCCTCTCCCTACAGAGATAGTAATGTAGAGGGGTTATCCGACCATCATACTACGACCAATGACTGCACTACAAGTAGGATTGTGATTGAGGAAGTCAAAATGACCCTTAGAAAGATGGGGAGGGACAAAGCTGTCGGTCCAGATCAAATTCCTATCACTGTGTGGTTGACCCTAGGATAAGAGGAAGTTAAGTGGTTGACTAACATCTTTAATATTATTTTAGAGACTGCCAAGATGCCAGAGGAGTGGAGAGAGTCCACAATGATACCAATCTATAAAGAATAAAGGAGATCCCCAACATTGTGGTAACTATAGATGTATTAAACTACTCAGTCATACCATGAAACTATGGGAAATAGTGATAGAGGCTAGGTTGAGACAGGTTACTAGGGTTTCGGAAAACCAAATTGGCTTTATGCCAGACACGTCTACTACGGAGGCGATTCATCTACTTCGACGGCTTATGGAGAAATATAGGGAAAAAATAGAGATTCACATGGCGTTCATTAACCTTGAGAAGACATATGATAGTGTACCCCGCGATACGATCTAGAAGACCTTGGAAACGAGACGGATCCCAACTGCTTATATCTGGGTGATTCGTGATATGTACTTTAGATCTACTACATACGTCAGGACTACAGTTGGCGACACCGAGGCATTCCCGGTGGAAATTGGACTCCACTAGGGGTTGGCTCTTAGCCCTTACATATTCGCCTTGATTATGGATGACATCTATTGTGCGATATCAGACGGTGTTCCATGGTGTATGCTTTTCACTGACGACATTGTCCTAGTTGCTGAAACAAAAAATGAGCTGAATAGTAGACTTGCTACCTGGAAGACTGCTTTGGAAGAAAAATGTTTAAGGATCAATATTGAAAAGACAGAGTATTTATGTTCAAATTTCAGTGGGAACCAAAACGATGAAGATGTAGAAGTATGCATCGAAGGACACGTTCTCCCCTCAAAGGATTGTTTCAAGTACCTAAGGTCTATGATACATAAAGATGTGGGTGTAGATGATGACGTTACACACTGTATAAAGGCGAGATGGCTAAAGTGGAGGGCTGCTACTGGGATTTTGTGTGACAAGAAGGTGCCTCTAAAACTCAAGGGAAAATTTTATAGAATGACAATAAGACCAGCGCTGATGTATGGATCAGAATGTTAGG